CAACCCAACCCAACCAAGCACCATGGTTAAAGCAATTAGAATTCATGAGCACGGAGGCCCTGAGGTCAACGTTCACCTTCTTTACATACTTTCTTTCTTTCTTAATTTCCGAGACTAATTAATGGTGTTGAATTTATTTTCTGTTACAGGTGTTGACATGGGAAGATGTTCAAGTCCCGGATCCAAAAGAAGGAGAAATCAGATTGAAGCAAAAGGCAGTTGGTCTAAATTTCTTGGATGTGTATATGCGTCGAGGTGAGCAGAATCTAGCTCCGCCCTTGCCATATATCCCAGGTATGGAAGGAGCCGGAGTTGTAACAGCGGTGGGTCCCGGAGTAACCAGTTGCAAAGTCGGAGATGTCGTGGCTTACGCCAGCGCGGAGGTGGGTTCTTACGCCCAAGAGAGAATCCTTCCCGCAGATCTAGCGGTGCCTGTTCCTTCTTCCGTTGATCCGTTGACGCAGCCGCCGCCATTTTTAAGGGACTCACTGCACATGTCTTGATCCATAAAGGCTTTAAAGTAGGTGACCCATTCAATTCTTGATTTATGTATTATCTGTAGATGATAAAAAGTTTCTTTCAGTTTTAATGAAACAACGTACGATTCCCATCCATATATATAGGTTGAACCTGGACATACGATCCTGGTACATGCGGCAGCAGGTGGAGTCGGATCTGTGGTTTGTCAATGGGCAAATGCGATTGGAGCCACCGTCATCGGAACGGTGTCGACCAAGGAGAAGGCTGCGCAGGCGAAAGAAGATGGATGTCACCATGTGATTCTTTACAAAGAGGAGAACTTTGTGGATCGTGTGATGGAGATTACATCAGGCAAAGGGCTGGAAGTAGTCTACGATTCGGTCGGAAAAGACACCTTCAATGTAAGATATAAATAATACTGTATTAATTAATTGTTTCTAATTAATTTGTAGCTGGGTTTCAACTAATTAAATGTGATTTTGTTCTTTTGAAATGAAGGGATCATTAGCGTGCTTAAAGAACCGTGGATACATGGTGCTTTTCGGGACTGCCTCAGGTGTACCAGAGCCTCTGCGAGTTGAACAGATTGCACCCAAATCACTCTATTATACCTTTTCATCGATCACAGAATACACAGTTGAAAATCGAAAGGAGCTGCTTGTGGCTGCTCAAGACTTGTTCTCTAATATTGCAAAAGGAGTGTTGAGGATTCGTCTTAATCACAAGTATCCTCTGTCTCAAGCAACCCAAGCTCATATTGATCTTGAGAGTCGAAAAACATCGGGATCGGTTGTGTTGATCCCAGACGAGGAGTGATTTCATAAGTTTCATGTTTGTTTGTATGTTTACTGTTTTCCATCTATCTCGTTTTTTGTTTCTTGTATTCCAACGGACCTTTGTAATTTTTTGTGGAGGAGGACTACATATCCAACACCAAATTCAATTTTGTAATATAACGTCACTGTTTTATTTATTCTGTTCCTCTGTATTGTTTTCTAAAGTATCCTAATTATCATAACTATAGATAGTTTTTTACTACTCCTATATGTTAATAGTTAGACGTGTACAAACCGTTTTTTTTTTCCAAACCAATTCGGTTCGGTGGACCGGTTCGGTTCAAGTCAACAAAGTCAACACTGGTTCATCCTTAAACCGGTTCACCATCAAATTTATCCGATCCTATACAAACTGGTTCGAGATTGAGTATGTATGATGGAGATAGAGTTCGGAACCCCTAGGGGCTAGAGCAGTATGCATGGGAGGATTTCCCGGAGAGGTAACTCGGAATGTTGATTGCTAGTTGAGCGGTTCAGATAGACTAAAGGCCAATAGGCGTACCAGTCAGGCCGAAGGCTCGGTGAACGGTCCAGCTAGACTGAAGGTCCTGGAGGGCGGTCCAGGTCTGCTGAAGGTTATGAGAGTGGTCCAGTTTGGCTGAAGGTTTGGTAAGGCGGTCCAGTCATGCTGAAGACTCTGCATGTGTCGTTAGATCGGTGCGAGGTAATGGTTTGAGTATATCGCGTTATGTTAGCGTTAGAAGGTCTGGCCCAGGATATTGATCAAGATAGGAAGTCGAGTGTGGACTTAAGAGTCTTCGCAAGTGGATTCAGAGTATGTATGGTGCGTGGGATGGCGATTATGCCATAAGGAACGGTGTAATTTTGGGTAAGCACCGTGGCATTTGTGGTAGTGTCAAGACTGCCAAGTGGATCTCCTTGGTAGGGAAAAAGGGAAAGGAATGTAGCTCCGAGAGGGAATGTAAGTCACGGAAGTGAATTAGTAGTGCGAAGTTATGATTGGGGTGTTCCAATTATGGTTATGGCGCAGTGTGTGCGGCGGTGGTATGGAATCACATCCGGTTTGGATGTCGGCCGAGGTTACGGAAGGAAATTCCGAGGGTGTAAAGTCAAGAGGCTCGTAAGGGATGCAAGGATGGAGTTTTGGAGTCCCAACTTAATTTAGGTGAAGGATTTGTGTTGTAGTGGTTCATCCTGAGGGATGTTTTGAGGGTCGTCAGTGTGATGGGTTTTCCTAACCCGAGGGTGCTAGAGCTAGTTCAGCATGTGCATGTAATTGCAAGACGAGAACTCATGAGAGTTGCTCTGAAGAATGTGCCTTTCTGTCAGCATGGATAGGATAGAGTTGGACTTAGATCGGGAATCCGGTAGTGTATGGTTATTTATAGCTCACATGGGTCGAGTCATGGTTATGATTTGGAGCAGTGTTGCATCATGGGTGGTACTCAGTTGTTATGTGTGGTTATCAGAGGGTAAAGCCGGTGGCCGGCTTGTGACGGTGGTCAGGACACCGCGAGCAAGGAGAAAGTGAGTTTATGGGTTCCATGGTTGTGCTTTGAGGAGCCTGGTTGGGTTAATACCAAGAGTTGTAATGCGAGAGAATTTCTAGAGTCGAGTTATCGCAGGCTTCGAGGGCGAAGCCTAATTTAAGTGGGGGAGAATTGTAACATCCCGAAATATCAAGAGTAGAGTTGAAGGGCTAAAAGTGTAAAATTGAAGGTCAACTCGGCGAGTCCATGGGTGGACTCGGCGAGTAGGGTCGCGATTCAGGTCGCGTGTTAAGTGGCCAACTCGGCGAGTAGGCGCTGTGTATGGAAAACCCTGATTTCGAGGGTTGAGCCCTATATAAAGAACATCATATCTTCTCCCCAGCTTCCTTATCATTCCTTGAGTTCCAGAAGTCCTAAATTCGTGAGGAGACCCCATTACCAAGTGAATTAGAGCTTGGAGGAAGATATTTGGTGCTTTAAGCTTGAAGATTGGAGGCTTGTATCAGGAAGCTTGGGGGAGATCAGGAATCTACAGTTGGTTGGGCTCATTCTAGGGGGTAAGGAACCATTTCCTTAAGCTATTTTCTTCATGGGTTCATGGGTGGTGGTTGATATGACATCTAAATTGAGATAGAAGCTTGGATTTGAGGATGCTACTTCAGATCTAGGCTTGGAATGGTCTTATATGTCATAAAGTCCCTGTTGATGAGTGATTGGTGAAGCTACCTTGTCCCAAACCCTAGCCCTAGAGAGTAAACGTCTAGATCTCCTTGGATTCATGTAAAGATTGCCACTTTACGTGATGGATGGCTTGTAAAATAGTAGATCTATGGTTTAGAGCTTCTCCATGGCTTGGAAAGCCTCTGTATGGATCCAGATCTAGGGGTACTCGGTGAGTCACAAGGGTGTACTCGGCGAGTAGCTTGAAGATAGGCTGGAACTCGGCGAGTTGGCTGAATATGGACAGGAACTCGGCGAGTTGGAAGAACAACTCGGCGAGATGGTTGCAGATAGCCTTGGACTCGGCGAGTCTATTCTTGGACTCGGCGAGTCTGGGCGTGAGGTCCTAACCTTTATTCTGGTTGTGCTGTGACTCGGTGAGTCAAGGGATGACTCGTTGAGTTATGTGCGAGCAGGCTCAGAGTTGTTGGACTCGGCGAGTCTCGGGGTGCCTCGGCGAGTTGGGTCGCGAATTGAAGGAGGTTCTGTGTATGAGGACTCGGCGAGTCATCGGGTTGACTCGACGAGTAGAGCCAGTCAGGGGTAGACTTTGACTTTGACTTTGACCAAGGGTTGACCAGTTGACTTCCAGGGGTAATTTGGTAATTATTGGTATTTATTGGATTCAGTCTTTTGGGTATTGACAATGTTGAAGTTCGGGTCGGAGGTTGTGGCAGCGTGATCTTATCATTTCAGTCAGCAGTTGCGAGGTGAGTTATCCTCACTATATCAATAGGGTCTACGGCACCAAGGCCAGCCCTTTATCGGATTGAGATCCGGGTATCTGTTGTTATGTTATTGCTTTGATATGTTTGCATCCGGGTAGTTACGATGGTATTCGTTAGAGACCTGCTTAAGGTCGGTATCCTGGTATTTAGGATGATGCTATGCTAGTGACCGGTTAGGTCGGTATCCTATTAGAGTATGTTGTGTTATGTGATCTGCTAGATCGGTTTGACTGTATATGAATTGTTATGTGATTGTATGTTTATGTGCACATGGTTGTTTGGACTGGAGTTGGGTTGAGGTGGGTCCTGCTTCGTGCTGTAGGCCAAGATACCCAGGGCGGACCGGTTGTTCAGCGAGCGGTCCGGATAGGCTGTAAGCCCCACGAGGGCGGACCAGACGTGCCGAGGCTCGAAGAGTGGACCAGACCGACTGAAGGCCCGATGCGGGCAGACCAGTCATACTATAGACTCAGAGAGTAGACCAGGTGGGTTGAAGGCCCGATGCGGGCGGACCAACCACACTGCAGACTCGAGAGACATGATAGGACTCGGAGGGTGGACCAGGTCGACTGAAGGCACGACACGGCGGAACAGTCTCACAGTAGACCCGACATGCATGGTTGTTCTGGAATTCGTTATGATATCGCATGTTATGTGTATGGTATATGTGGTTGGTATTTTGGGGGTATCTCACTAAGATTTCGGGCTTACAGTTGTGGTTTAATGTTTTTTCAGGTTCTTTAGGAGACTGTGGCAAGGCAAAGGCGTGATCGTACTGCTCCTCGTGTTTATGTTTTATGAAATGGACCTGGGAATACTCTGATAATAAATGTATTGAAAACCTTTTTGTAATAACTTAACGAATTGGGATGTTTTTGAAACGTTTAAATTTGAAAATTTGGGTCGTTACATCAGCAAGTTCTTGTGGTTCTACAACTATTTGTTGACTTTCATCTGCTTTACATTTGATGTATTACATTTATATACTATTGGAACGATTATTTGTATGACATTAAATTTTGTTCAATGGATTGTATTTTTTATATATGACACTTTATTTTGTATTATGAGATATTAAATGCTAAGCAATTTTAAATTTAGTAAATCTATGTATAATATATTTTTTTTAAACATTTAAAATTATGATACGCAAAAATGTGTGTCATTTTCATTTATGACAGTGGCTTTAACGATACGCAATTGTGTGTCATAAATATGTGTCGTAAGGTTACGACACACAAATGTGTGTCGTCTTCCATTATGAAAGGGTCTTCCTTGACACGCAATGCATGTTGTAAATGCGTGTCGAAAGTTTACGGCACGCAAAATCGTGTCGTCTTCCTTTATGATAGGACCTTCCTTGACACGCATTTGCGTATCATCTGTGGCTTTTTAAGACACACAATGCGTGTCATTAAAGAGTATTTTTGTAGTAGTTTTCTTCTCTCAACACCTCTCTATTCCATACTTCTACTCACCAAATAATGTCATTGTTGCCGACAACCCTCTAACAAGCACAAAATCTTATCGAGGACCCTTTCTTTTCCTTTTCTTCTTCCTTATTATTTCTTCCCTTTCCATATCCCATCCTTTGTAACCCTAATTCACCAAAGCAAGAACACAAACCCAAAACAATTGGATCGTCGTGAACATTGAAATTTGGATCAACGCTCGGCACTTGTCGACATCAAGACCCAGAACGAAGATCCACCTAATGAATCGATTTATGAAAATCCACCACCGCTTAGGTCTGTCGGGATCAAGATGCATAAACAAATCTCCATTTCTTTATGTCAGGAAAACACTACCACCATATGATCGGTAGACGCCCGACCACCACGTAAGAAAGGAAATCGATTTTTGAAGTTCTATTGCCACCGGAAATATCCTGTCACCATTGATTGATCTACACGGTCTGACTTGTTTTTGGGTATTTCACGTCGCTCGTGAACCCTTTGGTCTAATTGTGAGGTGTACCAAAATATCTTTACAATAGAAAAGTTTCCATTTAGGTTTTTCGATTCAGAAATTTATGACGTAGTTGAAGAGCAAGTTCAGAAGTTTTTCTTTTTGAAACAAGATTAAAGTTGGGATTTGAAAGAAAATAATAGGTTTTGCTTGGTATATTTCCGATTATTCTATGTAATCTTCAAAGCTAACTATTTTTTTTATGTATATTGTCTTTTGGAGTTTGGAGAAGACAATCATAGTATGTAAATATGGTGGAGAAACCGATTTCACAGACGTGTTATATTCATGTTCGTTGATGTTTAGGTGCACAATTTGAAA